AAAGACAGGGTGGGGGGGGGGGAAATAGTGCAAGGGAAAAGACAGGGTGGGGGGGGGGGAAATGGTGCAAGGGAAAAGACAGGGTGGGGGGAGGGGAAATGGTGCAAGGGAAAAGACAGGGTGGGGGGGGGGGAAATGGTGCAAGGGAAAAGACAGGGTGGGTGGGGGGGGGAAATGGTGCAAGGGAAAAGACAGGGTGGGGGGGGGGGGAAATGGTGCAAGGGAAAAGACAGGGTGGGGGGAGGGGAAATGGTGCAAGGGAAAAGACAGGGTGTGGGGGGGGCAAATGGTGCAAGGGAAAAGACAGGGTGTGGGGGGGGGAAATGGTGCAAGGGAAAAGACAGGGTGGGGGGGGGCGAAATGGTGCAAGGGAAAAGACAGGGTGTGGGGGGGGGAAATGGTGCAAGGGAAAAGACAGGGTGGGGGGGGGGGAAATGGTGCAAGGGAAAAGACAGGGTGGGGGGGGGGGAAATGGTGCAAGGGAAAAGACAGGGTGGGGGGGGGGGAAATGGTGCAAGGGAAAAGACAGGGTGGGGGGGGGGGGAAATGGTGCAAGGGAAAAAACAGGGTGGGGGGAGGGGAAATGGTGCAAGGGAAAAGACAGGGTGTGGGGGGGGGAAATGGTGCAAGGGAAAAGACAGGGTGTGGGGGGGGGAAATGGTGCAAGGGAAAAGACAGGGTGGGGGGGGGGAAATGGTGCAAGGGAAAAGACAGGGTGTGGGGGGGGGAAATGGTGCAAGGGAAAAGACAGGGTGGGGGGGGGGGAAAATGGTGCAAGGGAAAAGACAGGGTGGGGGGAGGGGAAATGGTGCAAGGGAAAAGACAGGGTGTGGGGGGGGGAAATGGTGCAAGGGAAAAGACAGGGTGGGGGGAGGGGAAATGGTGCAAGGGAAAAGACAGGGTGGGGGGAGGGGAAATGGTGCAAGGGAAAAGACAGGGTGGGGGGGGGGGAAATGGTGCAAGGGAAAAGACAGGGTGGGGGGGGGGGAAATGGTGCAAGGGAAAAGACAGGGTGGGGGGAGGGGAAATGGTGCAAGGGAAAAGACAGGGTGGGGGGGGGCGAAATGGTGCAAGGGAAAAGACAGGGTGTGGGGGGGGGAAATGGTTGCAAGGGAAAAGACAGGGTGGGGGGGGGGGAAATGGTGCAAGGGAAAAGACAGGGTGGGGGGAGGGGAAATGGTGCAAGGGAAAAGACAGGGTGGGGGGGGGGGGAAATGGTGCAAGGGAAAGACAGGGTGGGGGGGGGGGGAAATGGTGCAAGGGAAAAAACAGGGTGGGGGGAGGGGAAATGGTGCAAGGGAAAAGACAGGGTGTGGGGGGGGGAAATGGTGCAAGGGAAAAGACAGGGTGTGGGGGGGGGAAATGGTGCAAGGGAAAAGACAGGGTGGGGGGGGGAAATGGTGCAAGGGAAAAGACAGGGTGTGGGGGGGGGAAATGGTGCAAGGGAAAAGACAGGGTGGGGGGGGGGGAAATGGTGCAAGGGAAAAGACAGGGTGGGGGGAGGGGAAATGGTGCAAGGGAAAAGACAGGGTGTGGGGGGGGAAATGGTGCAAGGGAAAAGACAGGGTGGGGGGAGGGGAAATGGTGCAAGGGAAAAGACAGGGTGGGGGGAGGGGAAATGGTGCAAGGAAAAGACAGGGTGGGGGGGGGGGAAATGGTGCAAGGGAAAAGACAGGGTGGGGGGGGGGGAAATGGTGCAAGGGAAAAGACAGGGTGGGGGGAGGGGAAATGGTGCAAGGGAAAGGACAGGGTGGGGGGGGGGAAATGGTGCAAGGGAAAAGACAGGGTGTGGGGGGGGAAATGGTGCAAGGGAAAAGACAGGGTGGGGGGGGGGGAAATGGTGCAAGGGAAAAGACAGGGTGGGGGGAGGGGAAATGGTGCAAGGGAAAAGACAGGGTGGGGGGGGGGGAAATGGTGCAAGGGAAAAGACAGGGTGGGGGGGGGGGAAATGGTGCAAGGAAAAGACAGGGTGGGGGGAGGGGAAATGGTGCAAGGGAAAAGACAGGGTGGGGGGGGGGAAATGGTGCAAGGGAAAAGACAGGGTGTGGGGGGGGGAAATGGTGCAAGGGAAAAGACAGGGTGGGGGGAGGGGAAATGGTGCAAGGGAAAAGACAGGGTGGGGGGAGGGGAAATGGTGCAAGGGAAAAGACAGGGTGGGGGGGGGGGAAATGGTGCAAGGGAAAAGACAGGGTGGGGGGGGGGGAAATGGTGCAAGGGAAAAGACAGGGTGGGGGGAGGGGAAATGGTGCAAGGGAAAAGACAGGGTGGGGGGGGGGGAAATGGTGCAAGGGAAAAGACAGGGTGTGGGGGGGGGAAATGGTGCAAGGGAAAAGACAGGGTGGGGGGGGGGGAAATGGTGCAAGGGAAAAGACAGGGTGTGGGGGGGGGAAATGGTGCAAGGGAAAAGACAGGGTGGGGGGGGGGGGAAATGGTGCAAGGGAAAAGACAGGGTGGGGGGAGGGGAAATGGTGCAAGGGAAAAGACAGGGTGGGGGGAGGGGAAATGGTGCAAGGGAAAAGACAGGGTGGGGGGGGGGTGGGGGGGAGATGGTGCAAGGGAAAAGACAGGGTGGGGGAGGGGGAAATGGTGCAAGGGAAAAGAGAGGGTGGTGGGGGGGTGGGGGGGAGATGGTGCAAGGGAAAAGACAGGGTGGTGGGGGGAGGGGGGGATGGTGCAAGGGAAAAGACAGGGCTAGTGGAGACTTGAAGCAGGCCCTGGAACAAGCTCTAACAAGCTAACCTGGTTTGCCTCCCTGAGCCTACTGAATAAACTGGTCATACACACACCTACAATACGAATCTCACCTGCTTGGAGAGGAAACAATGTGCTGCCAGCAGTCGACTCCTGACGCCCAAATGGAGTTGTGTTGTGAGCGCAAGCATCAAAACGACGACCACACGGCTTGCTGCGTTTCGAACCCATCTTTAATACGCCCAAATGGAGTTGTGTTGTGAGGGCAAGCATCAAAGCCTGTCTCACCAAACCCACCCGCTTGCCCTTAATCTGCCCTGAGAAACTCGGAGAATCTAACCTTGGCCTGAAGGTAGTGTGCTGGCAGCAGGTGCATGTGTGTGCACAGCTTACCCACTTGCATGCACACACACTAGGATACTTAATAGCACACTAAAGATAGTGCCCCAGCTCACGAATCTCACCTGCTTGGCGCGGAGGTAGTGTGCTGGCAGCAGACGCATGTGCGTGCACAGCTCACGCTCCTGAGCGCATGGCAGTGTTGGGCGTTTTCCATGCGGGTGGATGACGTTGTTTGTCATGACCCATAAGGCATGCACAAGAGGAAGAACGGCAAGTGGACGCATGGGTTAGAGGGAGGAGAGAAGGGAGGTTGTGTGGAACGGAAGAGGCTTGCTTCAAAGCATGGACTGAAAAGAAAGGAGTCAACAGAAGAAAGATGAAACGGTTTGGAGGCAGAGCGGAGCAGTCACAACAACACAGAGAAGCATGAAGGCAGCATGGAAAGGAGAATGGGGGGCATGTGGATGGTTGGAAGATACCCGACCTTGTGATCCCACCTTGGCAGATATCATCATAGCGCAATATGATTAGAGCACAACCCGATTAGAGCGAAATAATATATTGGGAATGGACCTCTCACCTTGGGTGACAGCAGGTCGCATCCAGGGTGGGAGGAGATGTCAAGAGCTGCTGAAGCGCCTCCTGATGATGCTGTGCTGATGGCTGGTGGCGCAAGTGGCAAGGGAGCAAAGAGGGAGAGGGAAAAGTGGCAGAATGGAGAAGAACAAGCAGGGAAGACGGAGCATGAGGCGATGAGAAAATGGGATCTCTTGCTGATCGTGCTACGCCATTGGCTGTGAGTGAAATTGCAGCAGCAGCAGCAGCTGCAGCAGCAGCAGCAGCAGCAGCAGCAGCAGCAGCAGCAGCAGCAGCAGCAGCAGCAGCAGCAGCAGCAGCAGCAGCAGCAGCAGCAGCAGCAGCAGCCAGCAGCAGCAGCAGCAGCAGCAGCAGCAGCAGCAGCAGCAGCAGCAGCAGCAGCAGCAGCAGCAGCAGCAGCAGCAGCAGCAGCAGCAGCAGCAGCAGCAGCAGCAGCAGCAGCAGCAGCAGCAGCAGCAGCAGCAGCAGCAGCAGCAGCAGCAGCAGCAGCAGCAGCAACAACAGCAGCAGCAGGTTTGTGCTTACGGCACTGACTGCGATACATGTGTTGGTGCTAGCTAGCTTTCACACACCTGTGACAGAGAGTGGGTAACACACCTGTGGCGGAGGGTGGAAGGCATGCAATAGCAGCAGCGGCAGCGGCGGGGTTGTCCTTGTAATGAGCCTGGATGAACCGGCGGCCCTCTGCCAGTGACTTGCACCCTGCTGCTCTCAACTCCTGGTGGGAAGGGGAGAATGGAGAGATTACATAAAGCAGCAGCGGCGGCAGCAGCAGTGGGGTTGTCCTTGTAATGAGCCTGGATGAACCGACGACCCTCTGCCAGTGACTTGCACCCCGCTGCTCTGAGTTCCTGTCAGGGACGGGAGGGGCGGACGGAGAAGGTCAGGCAACGCAGCAGCAGAAAGAACATCATCAGCAGAAGAAGCAACAGCGGCGGCGGCGGCGGCAGCGGCAGCAGCAGCAGCAGCAGCAGCAGCGGGGTTGTCCTTGTAGTGTGCCTGGATGAACCGACGCCCTTCCTACCGCCAGTGACTGCACCCCGCTGCTCTCAACTCCTGGAAAGGGGATGTGATGTGATGGTGGGGGAGGGGAGGAAATGGGAGGGGAAGGGAGGAGAGAGAGTACTATACAACTCTTTAAGGCACCTCGGATAATCTTAGAGAACTACACAATCTCTCTGGTTTTTTTGAGAATTCTCAAAAATACCCTGCAGCAGGAGAGAGAGTACAATACAACCCTTTGAGGCACCCCCTTAAGGCACCTCGAACTACACAATCTCTCTGGTTGAGACTCTCCAACCAACCACCCCCCAAGAAGGCCACTCTCACCTACAATACAACTACTCTGTCTCACAGCCTCTGTGCCTGGGTCAAACTCTGCACCAGCCCCACTCTGCACCAGCCCCACTCTGCACCAGCCCCACTCTGCACCAGCCCCACTCTGCACCAGCCCCACTCTGCACCAGCCCCACTCTGCACCAGCCCCACTCTGCACCAGCTGCTCTCGACTGCAGCACGGCCACTCTGTCTCGCATTCGCTGTGCCTGCATCAGACTCTGCACCAGCCCCTCGTATTCCTCGGCACTCACAACCCTACATTCTCCCCGAATCGAGTCCCAGAGCACTGAACCCTTCATCACCACCTCACCTGCAGCACGGCCACTCTGTCTCGCAGCCTCTGCGCCTGAGTCAAACTCTGCACCAACCCCTCGTGCTCCTCTGCACTGAGAAACCTCGCAAACACGCGGCACCGCAGAAACATCTCCCGTTCCTCCTTCGACCTCCTCCTCTCCCCACCGCCTCCTCGCTTCCCTCCCCGCTTCCCTCCCCCTTCCCCCTTCTCCACCCCACCCTCTCCCGCTTCTGCCCCCACCTCCCCCAGAGTTCCCCCTTCCCTCTCCCCTCCCTGTTCCACACCATCCTCTCTCTTGTGTTGTTCATCTGTCCTGTCCCGGTCCCTGACTCTCCCCCTGCTGCCGGAGGTGGATTCGGGTCGGATAGTTCCGTCCACTCTTCTCGGGTCGAGCAAACCACGCTCCAAGATAAAGGCCTTGCGCCTGGACCGCTCTTCCAGCCTTTAGGGGAGAGGGGTGGGGAGAAATGGAGAAACCGAGAGGGGGGGGAGGGAGGAATGGCCGTCTCATCGGGTCTAGAAGGCCACGCTCCAGGATAAAGGCCTTGCGACGAGACCGCTCTTCCAGCCTTTAGAACACAAGGGAGGAGGGGAGGAGAGGGGGAGAGCGGGAGGCGGAGTGGGGGTAGTCCGTGCAAGGGAAAATATGTGTCACGCTCAATGCACATCAATCAGCCGAACCCCACACACCTGGAGTAGTCGATGTGCAGCATCTTGATCTTCAGTTGTCTATCCACACTCGAGTCCGACTGCTTGAATTCCAGCTCTGCCAGCCTTGCACTGTACGCCACTGTTGAACGCTGTGACATCCGCAACACAAACCAAGCGCACCTGGAGTAGTAGATGTGCAGCATCTTGATCTTGAGCTGTCTATCCACACTTGAATCGGAATCCTTAAATTCCAGCTCTGCCAGTGGTGCCTCTGCCTCGTTGTCGTATTCGGGATCAAACTCGTTGCGCTTCGTGTTGTACCCGCTTGTGATGGGTGTTGCAGTGTCGTCTGTCTTGGTGCTGGGCTCTGGCCTGTAGAGTAGAAGAGGAGGGGAGGAGGAGGGGGAGGAGAAGAAAGTTAAGCGGCACACAGCGGCGGGGCCTCTGCCCCGCTGTCACACTCGGGGTCTAAGTCGTTGCGCTTTGTGTTGTACCCGCTTGTGATTGGTGCACCAGCGTCGTCCCCCTTGGCGCCAGGATCAGGTCTGTAGTGGGCGAGGGAGAAGGGGAGGAAGGGAGGAGGGGAGGACGGGGACGACGGGAGGAGGGGTGGAAGGGAGGAGGGGAGGAGGGGAGGAAGGGAGGGTCAGAAAAAAGAGAAGGGATGAAAGATGAGAGGAATACAGCATTGGTGCCTCTGCTTCGTTGTCACATTCGGGGTCAAACTCGTTGTGCTTTGCGTTGAACCCGCTGTTATTGGCGCTGAGGCAGTGTCGTCCGCCTTGGTGCTGGGTTCTGGCCTGTAAAGGAGGGGAGGAGGGGAGGAGGAGAACGGGAGGAGAGGAGGGGAGGAGGGGAGGAGGAGAACGGGGGGAAAGATAAGAAGAGGCACACAGCGGTGCCTCTGCCTGGGTATCATACTCAGGATCAAACTCGTTGTGCTTGGCGCCGCACCAGCATCGCCTGTCTTGGTGCCGGGGTCGGGCTTGTGACGCGGGAGATGACAGGCTTGAAACCCTCCATGCACTCGACTAGGTGACTCTTGAGTCGACTCAAAAGTCACCTTGAAACCCTCCACGTACTGGACTCAAGGAATGTTCAACCATTCGACCACTGAAATGCGTGTTAAGACATCTTGAAAAGGCTAAACAGGGTTGTATGCACTCCGTGGGGGAAGCACTCACTTGACTTGACACCATGTCAATGAAGATGAATGTCAATGAAGTGGTGCTGACAGTTCAGCAGTGGAGTGCCAGCAGCACTCGGCTCAATTCACCACTTCATGACACTCCATCCTCAACGCTCCCTTGACCATTGGAAGGAATGCGGAGCTGAGTTGCCTCTTGCACTTGCAGTGAGGTGTACATAAGATTTTTTGTGAACCCAACGGGCACTCACTTCACCACAGGAACGTTGAACAGAACTGCCTCCTGTGCCCTTGCTGCTGTCTCTGCTGCCTCCTGCTCCTCCATTGCCGCCTTGGCTGCTTCCGTGTCTGCTTGCGTGCGCAGGCGAGATAGATCCTAGAAAGAGAAGCAGGGAAACAGGAGGGACCAGACAAAGGAGGGACGAGGAAGGGACAAGGGAGGGAAAAACTGGTTCCTGGGATTACGGAAAGAAGTGGGACTGCTGGCAGAGGGTCACAGGGCAACAGCAGGCAGTCGTAGAGTTAGTGAATGTAGCAGTAAGCATTTCCCACATGCCCACATGCCCACAAGGATATGTGGTTACAGAGTCAACTCACAGGCAGGGGCTGTGGTGTGAGCAGGTAAACATAGAGGTAGTGGTCGTGGCACTGCGCCTTGCTCTTCACATGCCCACACTACCACACATACGCACATGCACACAAGGCTACACGGTTCTACTGCTCACAGGCAAGGGCCCGGTGGGTGACAGCAGGTAGTCGTAGAGGTAGTGGTCGTGGCATTGTGTCTTGCTCTTTGACCCCACGTGCTCTGCAATCTCCCCCCAGTTGCCCATTCCGTACATCTCCAGTGCCTGAAGTTCATGCGGGAAAGGGGACGTAAAGAATTGAGGGCGGGGAGCGGAGGAGGGAGGGACGAGGAGGTAGTGAGGGGGCTATCCCACGTGCTCCGCAACCTCCCCCCAGTTGCCCATTCCGTACATCTCCAGCGCCTGAGGAGGCACGGAGAGAGGCACGTGAGAGGGAGGAGAAGAAGGGGGGAAGGGAGAAAGACCGGAGAGTTATCCTCAACCCATGTGCTCTGCAATCTCCCCCCAGTTGCCCATTCTGTACATCTCCAGAGCCGGTGGGTTGGTGTGAAAGGGGGGAGAGAGGAGGTAAGGGGGGGGGAAGAAACAGGGAGACAGGGAAGAGAGGTAGGGGGGTTGGCTGACCCGCACAACAAGAGGTGCTCTTAGAACCTCAAAAAACATTCATGAACATGCTCTGCCACCTTTTCCCAATTGCCATTCTACAACGAACCTTAACGGTAAACAAGGCAGCGTGGCTCACCTCGAGCAGCAGCATCTCCTCGTCAGCAGTCCAGTCCTCATGCACAAGAGGGAAGCTCATGGTGTCCTGGTGCGGTTGGTGGTGCACAGTCAGAATGCGTTCATGCAAAGTTAACGCATGTCAAATTGGTCGGGAGCAGGAGAACATGAAATGATGAAAACACGAGCCTGATGGACCAATTGGATAAAGAAGAGAGTGCTGAACAAGTGAGGGGAACTGGAAAGGTGGACAAAACTGGGAGTGGGAAGGTGGGCAGACGGGGAGTGAGAAGGTGGACAGACTGGGAGTGGAAAGGTGGGCAGACGGGGAGTGAGAAGTCCCTGTCTGCCCACCTTTCCACTTCCAGTCTGCCCACCTTCCCATTCCCCGTCTGCCCACCTTTTCTCTTCCTGTCTGCCCGTCTTTCCCCCTTCCCCCTCCCCCTTCCCTCTTTCCCCAGTCCCCTCCCTAAACCCTCTCCTCCCTCGCTTGTGAATCCCGTGCCCCTTACCACGCTCGCTTCAACTTCCCACCCCCCCTCTCCCTCCCCTCCCCCTCCCCCTCCCCCTCCCCCTCCCCTCCCCCTCCCCACCCCCCTCACCCTCCTCCCCCTCCCCTCACCCTCCCTCCCCCTCCCCCTCCCCCTTCCCCTCCCCCTCCCCCTCCCCTGACCCTTCTCCCTCTCCCTCTCCCTCGCACTCCCCCTCCCCCTCCCCCTCCTCTCCCTCCCCTCTCCTGCTCACGTGATGTGGTAGGGGTGGGAGGAAGAGTGGGGGTAAGGAGCAGCGCCTTTCCCTTTCCCCCTCCCTTTCCATCACCCTCCTCCTCCCCCCTTCCCCCCCGTCCCTTCTCCACACTCACCATAACGTGATACGGGTGGGAGGCAGAGTGCGGTGTGAGCAGCGGCGCCCACGGAGAAGCATTCAGCGCAGAGGTCAAAGTCCACACACGCCGCACACTTCACGCGCACCTCCCCCGTCACATCCCTGTGACAGTAGTTGCAATGATATACCCCCTTCCGCGCTCCCCCCCCTGTTCCCCCCGCTCCCCCGCCTCCCCCGGGTCCCCCCCCGCCTCCCCCTGCTGCTGCGCCTGCGCCCTCCCCCCCCGCCCCTGCGCCTCCCCCCCCGCTGCTCCCCCCACCCACGGCGTCCTGCCAGCTTGTGGTGGCATAGCGGCGGCGCTTGGGTCTGGGGAAGGAGAAGGGGGCATGGGAGTTGGGAGGGTTTGCAGAGGAAAGGGTGAGTGGGAAAAAGGGGAGGTGAGGGGTAGAAAGGAAAGATGCAAACCCAGCTCCCCCCGCCCACAGCGTCCTGCCAGCAACATACCATCCACCAGAGTGTGATCTTATCTTACCCATTAACTCAACCGTTACTAGCACCAGAGCACACAGCACCCCTCACCTCGAATCGAACCCCCTCTAGAGGCGTGATCCTCCTCCCCGGCTCCCCTATTACCTCATCCGTTACTCGCACCAGCAACATACCATCCACCGCACAGAGCACCACCTTACCTAGAACCCCCACCAGGAGCGTGATCCTCTTCCCTACTTATATTCCCCATTAGCTCAACCGTTACTAGCACCAGCAACACACAGCAACCCTCACCTGGAACCCTCACTAGGAGTGTGATCCTCCTCCCTGTCTCCCCTATTAGCTGATCCGTTAATCGCACCAGCAACATACCATCCACCGCACAGAGCACCCCCTCACCTCGAGCCCCCACTAGGGGCGTGGTCCTCCTCCCCGGCTCCCCTCGACCGACCCATTGGACCCGAGCCTCACAGTCGGAGGCTTGGAAACTTGGGAGGTTCGGAGACTACAAGGCTCGGAATAGAAGACTTTGAGGTGAGGAAACTCAGAAACTCAAAGACGTCGCAGGATTCACGGTCGCCGATTCGAGAGTCAGCGAAACGATGAATAGAGTCGATTTTTGAGTCGACTCAGAAATCGACTCTATTCACGTGAGTCGACTCAAAAATCGACTCTATTCACGCGGTCGCAGATTCGAGAGTCAGCGAAACGATGAACGATTTCAATCGCGGATTCGATTCGGCTGTTTTCGCCACCGTCTGAACGAACCCCGTAACTAAATTAGTTGCACATAGGAATGCAGACAGCAAGTCGGTACTACCTATAACATCGGAGGACTCTTAGGCAGTCTGGTGCTGGGACGGAGGAGTACACGGTAAGCTAGTTGTCGCTCGAAGATAACCAGATAGCAGCGGCGACGGCGAACCGATAGGCTGGTAGTGGTAACCACTGGGTAACCACCAGGTACCAAATGGTTATGATTTACACGAAATGTTGCGAATTGAGAGGTAATTGTATCTTGCGCAGTGCAATAAAGGTGGAATCTCGTTCCGGTCGGCAACGGTGATACAAGCTTGTGACTGTAACGACAGGTCAATACCTCACAGCGAAGCTATGGAACTAAGCGCGACGCGAGAAGAGGGTATCGCGAAGGCGGCCTCGTCGAAAGAAAGAAAATGCCCACATGCGGATACAATCAGCGCGCGTTAGCGCAACATGCGGGCAGCCATGGGGGTTTTGGCGGGAAAGATTGCTGAAGCGTCACCAGTTGCGATTCGCTATAAAAAGCTTTGAATACAGAATTGGCTTTTACACGAATTTTCAAGTGAAGATTTCACCAACCTTTCGAGGTATAGAATATCCTGCTCTCCTTGTATTGTTTTCAATGTGCTCTCCTTTTGTTACATCTATGTAATCAAATGGATGAATGCAATACACGATTATGACACTCACTCTTCGTTTCACCATATGGCACAACGCATAATGCCACCTGTACTGTTACAATTCGTTGTTACGTCATCATTTCCTGTAGTCTTAGCGCAGCAACTAACATCTCATTCCATGTGTCCGGCACTCCAGGCACACAAAAGTGACTGCAATCTTCCTTTTTTGTCTCCCCCACACGCATTTCTGCAGGGAGGGAAGAGCCCACATGAGCATCAACACGAGCATCGGTTAACCCCCCTGCTTGCAGCAACACAACCCTGTCTCCCATCCCAATCTCCCTCTCAACCACCCTTTCCATCTGCCCCACACTCGAGTGCACCCACTCCCTCCTTCTTTCCCTCCTCTCCCTCTCCTGCCGCCACCGCCACCGCTGCCACCGTTGCTGGTGTGCCTGCTCCTCCCCTCCCTCTTCCAACCACTCTCTCGGCCTCGAAAACAAGCTACACTGTCCGTTTTCTTTACATGTGACGTCGTCTGGCAGGCAGAGCGAGGTATGGTTGCCCTGGTCTGCCCGGAAATAATGTTCTCGGGGCAGCCCGAGAAAGAAAGTTGGGAGGGATTCGGCGGTGGGTTGGGAGGAGAGGAAGTGGTGCAGCATGCGCAGGGTCTTGGTGAATGCTGCTACCGGGTCAAGAAAGTCAACCGAGTCAAGCAGGTTAGGTGGGAGCACACTAGGCCCTCCAGGTGACTCATCCTCCTTATTAGCAGCCTCGTTATGCACATCCTCCCCACGAACTTCCTTGTCATTCTCTGCACCTGTAACAACATGAGATTCGTTATCCTTCTCCTGCACTGCATCCTCTTTCGCCGCTTCACCCTCCTCATCAAACGTAACTTGATTGACTGAAGGCATCACTTCTCCTTCTGAGAGTCTACCTTGAGACATCTCCTCTTGGACTTGGTCAGCTTCGTCCGCCATGACACTCCCGCCCTGCTGCTGCTGCTGCTCCGGCACTTCATCATTTTCCACCGGCCTATCCTCATCAAGGAAGCTGCCCCGACCGACTGAAGAGCTCGCTTCGGACATTTCCTCTAGGACTATGTCAGCTTCATCCGCCATAAAGCTTCCGCCTGTCTGCTGCTCCTCCTCCTCTAATCTCACATCACCTTCCTCCAATTTCGATCCACCCACTGCCTCACCTGAACCCCCCTCCGCTGCATCTGATCCGTCCATGCTACCAAGGGACCCTGCTTCATCCGCACCGTCCATTCCATCAAGTATCGACATGTTGCCTGCACTCGCAGGTGAGTCAACATGTGGCATGGGAGTCAGAATCAGAGGCATGTGGGAACGAAAAGAATCACTTTCATCGTCTTCCCTATGGACACTCTCTGTGCTTTCTGGGAAGCTCAGCAGGTGCCGGTGCCGCCACAGCCACTTGCCAATCCTCCCCCTCCCCCTCTTACTCCTCTCCCCCCCCTTCCTCCCCTCCTTGTGGCTGTCCCTGGCACCCCCACTGCCGATGTTAGAGGGGTTGATGCTGAGGTTACTAAGACTCTTATTATTGCTGCTCTGGACGTTGCTGGTAGTGCTACCGGGACTGCTGGTAGTGAAACCGTTGCTGGTTGTGCTGTTGCTGCTGTTTGAAACGCTGCTGCCACTGCTGCTATTGTCATTCTCAATACTGTCACCCTGCAGAATGGCATCATCATCACCGAAGTCGCCCATTCGCAACTCCCCTCCTGCAAACGGATCAGTCTGAGAACCACTCGTGGTGTCCCCTCCTCCTCCTCCACTGGCTGTCTGGCCACCATTATCACCACCCTGCTTCATCACCCCCTCCTCCACTTTTTCCCCAACCTTCTGCCGCTTCCCCTCTCCTTGCTTCCCTTGCCCCTTGCCTTGCCTTTTTTTGCCCCTTGCCTTGCTTACCCTGTCCCCCAGACCCAGGCTCCTGCTTTTCCCATCGTCTTCTCTCACCTTCCTTGATTCCTTTTTGACCTCCAGCCTTCCTCAATCTCTCAACCTTCCCTCCTCCTCCCCCTCGTCCACCCGTTTTTTGCACCTCTGCCACAGCCTTGCGTTTCTCCTTCGCCTTATCACCACTGCTCTCCCCTTTCCCTCCCGCTTTCTTCATCTCACTGCCTGCCTGCTTTCCTGTCCCGCCTCCTTTCTGCCCAGCTTTACTATTGTCTCCCAATGCCATCCCACCATTCCCTTTGCTTCCCGCACTGATTTTGTTATCCCCCACACTGTTCCCCTTTCTTCCCGCACCATTCCCTTGGTTTCCCTGACCGACCTCCTTGCTCCCCCCACCCTTGCCCCCATTCCCCCCGTCATTTCCCTGACCGGCCTCCTTGCTCCCCCCACCGTTGCCCTGATTTCCCCCGCCATTGCCCTGATAGCCCCCGCCATTGCCCTGATAGCCCCCGCCATTGCCCTGTTTACCACCACCGCTACCTTTGTTTTTCCAACCATCGACTCCATTTCCCCCACTGTTTCCCTTCTTCCCTCCACCATTCCCCTTCTTCCCTCCACCATTCCCCTTCTTCCCTCCACCATTCCCCTTCTTCCCTCCACCATTCCCCTTCTTCTCCCCACCATTCCCCTTATTCTCTCCACCATTCCCCCTATTCTCCCTGCCATTCCCCTTATTCTCTCCACCATTCCCCCTATTCTCCCCGCCATTCCCCCTATTCCCCCCACCATTCCCCTTATTCTCCCCACCATTCCCCCTATTCTCCCCACCATTCCCCCTATTCTCCCCACCATTCCCCCTATTCTCCCCTCCACTCCCCTTCTTCTCCCCGCCACTCCCCTTCTTCTCCCCACCATTCCCCCTCTTCTCCCCACCATTCCCCTTCTTCCCCCCACCCTTTCCCTTCGCCTTTTCACCCGTCCCCTTATTCCCCCCGCCATTCCCCCCAGTTCCCCCACCAGGCTCCCCTTTTCCCCCACCAGCCTTCCCCTTTTCCCCCACCAACCTCCCCTTTTCCCCCACCAGGCTCCCCATTTCCCCCTCCAGCCTTCCCCTTTCCCCCACCAACCTCCCCTTTTTCCCCCACCAGGCTCCCCCTTTCCCCCACCAGGCTCCCCCTTTCCCCCTCCAGCCTTCCAATTTTCCCCACCAACCTCCCCTTTTCCCCCACCAGGCTCCCCCTTTCCCCCTCCAGCCTTCCTCTTTCCCCCACCAACCTCCACCTTGCCTTCTGCTCCCACTTTCTCCTCACGCATCCCTCCCTCAACTCCTTTACCAGCCACAGCAGCAAAAACCTTTGATTCATTCGCTGCACTCTGCCCCTCCTGCCCCTCCTGCCCCTCCTGCCCCTTCTGCCCCTCCTGAGAAGCATGTATTCGCGCCCTATGCTCCTGCCATCGCTGCTGCAACCCCACCCACGCGCCTCCCGTGTGAATCACCAGCACATGCGGCTGTGCTGCCACCACATATGCCGCCCACGCATCCAGCCGCACCACTCTCACCGCTCCCAACCCCTCCGAACTTGGCTTTGCTGCACCTGACCTGTCCGAACCCAGCTCCACCGCATTCAACCCATCCGAACCTGGCTCCTGGGTGGTTTCAGAAGTATCTGTGAGAAGACTTCTGCCAATGCCTGCGTTGCTACTGCTACCAAAGCTAGCAACGATATTGGTGGCATTAATACTGCTGTTATTGATGCCCTCAGGCATATTCTTGGTCAATGAAGGATTAGGCGTATCTGGAACAGCCATACTAGCAGGAGGCGTGTCTGGGGCAGGTGTATCTGATTGCCCAGGAGCATGTGAAGGGGCGGATTCCAGGACGGTTAGAAAGTCAGAGTGGAAAAAGTCAAGGCTTGTGTTGGCATGAGGGAATGTGTATTGGAATACTAGAGGAGTGGAGGCTTGGGACTTGGAGCCTGCAGGGGAAGCAGCTGAGGATGAGGATGAGGAGGAGGTGAGGGGAGAGGAGTAGGAGGATAGAAGGGATGGAGACGAGGAAGGGGGGTGGAGGAGGGAGGGGAAGGTGCGGTTGAGTCGCTCTGTTGGCATGCTGTGATTGGGTGGGAGGGAGGGACCCACTGAGAGCAGGCAGAGCAGCGACTGGAACATCTGCAAGCAAGGGATCGAGGGAGAGAGAAAATAAGAGAGGGGAGTGGAGATGGGCAGGGGGAGATGTTATGGTGGTTAGAGATGAGTGGTGGTGATGGGCAGAGGTCAAAGAGCGAGCTGAAAAGCTGATGGATGGATGGATGGATGGATGGATGGATGGATGGATGGATGGATGGATGGATGGATGGATGGATGGATGGATGGATGGATGGATGGATGGATGGATGGATGGATGGATGGATGGAGCAAACGAATGAGGGGGAAGGGGAAGGAAAGAAACCAGGGACAGAGATTACACTGAAATTGAACATATCGAGAGACATGCAGAGAGTGACCCGCAGAATCGACTATTGCGGGGCCGCATAGAATCTTTAAATGGACCGTACCGACAACAGTGTAGAGTCGCCCACGAACACGATCCGACGGTTCTGGAAGGCCTCGAAGAAGCGATCCGCTCGGAAGCGAGTGAACGGGTGGGCGCAGTCGCTCTCTCTCCAGGCGAAATGCAGATAGTCAAAGTCGGTACGGCCATTCTCCTGCGGTTGGAGATGGGGGTGGGAGAGGGGGGCGTGCGTGAGGGTGAACGGGTGGGCGCACTCGCTCTCTCGCCAGGCAAAGTGGAGATAGTCAAAGCCTGTTCGGCCATTCCTGGGGGACGGGGGGAGGGGAGAGGGAGGTGGGTGGGTGAATGGGTGGGCGCACTCGTTCTCCCTCCAGGCAAAGCGGAGATAGTCAAAGTCCGTGCAGCTGTTGTCCTGGGGGACGGGGGGGGCGGGGAGGCAGCGGAAGCAGAGAGGGAAGAGGAGGGGGGGAGTTGGGATGGGGGGATGGAAGAGGGACGAGGAGAAAAGCAACAAACTAACGACGAAGGGATGCGCTCGCTCTCTCGCCAGGCGAATTGGAGATAGTCAAAGTCACTGCAAAGCTACCCTCACAGGAATTCAATGTTTCACTAACGAAGGAACAATCTCCTGCTTCAAATAACAAAATCGATACCATTATGAATCAACTCAAGGCTCACAATCTCTCCTCACCAGACAGTTGAATGTTTTATTGAGAAACATACACTCTTCTGCTGCAAAAAACGGATATTATACACCCGTTAACCCTATACACCCTTTTCATTCTGCTCAAAGATCACTCACCCTCCCTCCTCACCAGGCAGTTGAATGTGCCACTAATGAAGGGACAGTCTTCTGCTGCGTACAGCGGATATCCCTCCCTCTCCATCTGCCAATCCCCTCTCCCCAGCTCACACACCCCCTCTCCCCTCCTCGGCCTCCACACCTCCCCCTTTCTCACTCCCCACCCACTCCCCCCCACAATCCCTCCTACTTTCCCTCCTCCTTCTCCTCCGCTTCCTTGTCCTTTCTCCCCTGCAGCAGCTGAAAGCGCCTCAACGGGGGTGTGATTGAAGCGAAGGGCGCGGAAGTGCGGGTGGGAGGAGGTGGAGAGGTGGAGCATAACCCAGGGCATTATAACGAGGGAAAAGAACATCACAGCACACGCGCTCCAAGCAGCCGCCACCACCACCAGCACCCGCAGCACCACCACCGCCGCCTGGGGTAACCCTTCCTGTACCCTGCTCACCCAGTGCTTGCGTGCTTGTAACGCAGCCACGGCTGCAGCGGCGCCTGCGGATGTGACTGTACCGAATGGGTTTTGTTTTCCATTCGCCGCTGCCTGCGTGCTGGTGGTTGGATTTGGGCCGCCTGGGCCTAATTCCGATAGTGTACCGTAACCGTTTGGGCCTGATTCCGAGATTATACCGAGGTCTGAGCTTATACCGAGTTCGGATCTTGTAGCAAAATATCCCGGGCGACGGATAGCCGGGGCTGGGGCGACAGCGGTGCTGCTTCCCTGCGGGGCGATGTGAGGCTGGGGGAGGCTGTGCGCGGGCGAATGATCTAATACGGCCCTCGGTATTGCCGACGAGCGCGCCGATTCTGATTCTGATAATGCTTCTGTTGGGGAGGACCGTTTGCTGATGTAACAGTAGCGGGTAGTGATGCGGCTGACCCGATCAATGCTGCTTCGTTCGATTCCGTCCTTAATGAGATCGTTAACATTGAATTGGCAGGTTGCGAATCTTCCGTCGCTGGGAATCGCGTGCCTGGGTCAGCAGAGTATCGCGTTGCTAGTGTTGCTTCGCCTGATGATGCGCTTCCTCTTTCTACAAATAAGGCAGCCCTGGCTGCATGCTTTTCCATTCTCGCGGTTTCGGTTACATCCAGCCCATTTCCGTGTGAAAAATCAGTTGGCTTCTTCCCCATCGTGCTCTTACGCCTCTCGCTTTTTGGTGCCTAAAGCAAGGTCAACACATATTCCAAGAATAAGCTGCCAGTTTCGACGCTGCTCGAAACTAAGCAATGGCAGCAAGTGTGGATGTTCCTTCGTCGACAGGAGCCAGTCCACACGCACAGAAGACTGAACCAGGTCAGTTCCTTCGGGTAACCAGCGCACAGTGTCGGAATTTCTGCACGGCGTTTTGACCCTGGTGGTAACATGATCTTGCAAAAGTCGGCATCGTGAAATCACTAACGTGATCTACGAAAAAGAGCGAACTTGAACGCACTGACCGGAACGAAGGGCTGTGTTGGTTCAGTTTCGCTCAAATGTACCAGACCAGGATTCCTTTCACCACCCATCGTCGAGCTCAAGTTGGTGTGCTGTCGAATCCCAACGTTTTCGCCTGGTTCAAAGCGGCAAAGAGGGATGAACTCTTCATCTCCAGCGCACTCCAACTGAGACACCCTTGATTCCTTGGGAACTCTAGATCAATTGAGCAGCAAGACCCAGAATCCAGTTCGCTAAGTTTCATGCTGAAAGTGACAAGGCCGCCATGGATTCTACCTCGGAACTTTGAGAGCAGGCCTGTCGAAGTTCCTGGGTCCCATACTTGCGCTCCCCAGCTCCTCCCCATCTGACCCCGTTTTTGGTGTAGCTGAGCGTTTGGGCGCCCTTAACGGTCACGGGCGCACCCCAAAGTGAAAACTTAAAATCCGGGCCTGTGAAGAGTTTGCACTTAGACGCGAAGGGAAATTTTGGGTGCTCTAAAGCTGACTTTCAAACACGGGATGGCTAGAAAACGCTAAGGGAAAAATCCACTCCTCTCGTGCAACCTAAGGAGAAAGGGAGGGGGGGGGGGGGGGGGGGGGGGCGGCACTTAAAGCCCAAGACCTGAATTACAAAAAAAAGAAGGCAAACTGTGCACAGTTTGCCTCCCGAGCCCACAGTTGACTTCCGAGCCTCTCTGGTTACCAAAAAACACCACGCAAAAAAGCAGGGAGTCATGGAGCAGCACAGATCTGGTTGGCGAGAGTCCCAACCGCTCTCTCCCCAAGGGAATAGAGCTAGGCTGTTGACAGTTCGAAAATAGTTGTAATTCAGGTCAAGCTAAGACACTCACGCACGCACGCACTCTTAGGTAGAACAGAGGAGCCAATGAAGCCGGAGGCCACTCCACAAAAAAATAAGACGGAGAAACCAATTATGTATGATGATCAGAGTGTTGCGATGGGCCCGATTATTACTCAGCATCGTCGTCGAAACCCTGTGCGACTGCGCAAACGCCAGTTTGCGGCGCATGCATCTCCCTCTCCGAGATCGATAAGAATCGTACTGTCGATCGCTGTCATTTCCTGCGCATTCGCCCTATGTTTGCCTCAGCTTTATGCCCACTCCCGCGCTTCTTCGTCGACGTCACGTCCCGTCACCCACGCTTCCTCTCGTCGACGTCGCCGTGCCCGATGTCGCTACTTTTACGTCTCCGATCGCTCTCCTCCTATGTTGTCTATCGCTTTCCGCGTCCCCCACGCTTCGCCCCACCGTCGCCCACGCTTCCTCCCGCTGTCGCTCACACTTCATTCCGTCGTTGCCCATGCTCCCCCTCCCGTCACCACCTTCACCGTCGCCCTCGCTTTCCCCCACTGTCGCTTACGCTCCCACCCATCGTCGCTCACGCTTCCCCCTACCTTCTCCCACGCTTCCCCTCTCATCAGCCACGCTTCCTCCCACCGTCGTCCTCTTCCTCCCACCGTCGACCTCCCTTCTCTCCCACCTCTCTCCACGTCGTCATCACTCCCCTGCCTATCACGTTCCCCCTCTTCACCGTCGCGTCTCCACCCTCTCATCCCTTCCCATCGCATTTAGGGTCATCGTTGTACTCCTTCCCTATTACCACCTTCTCTACTCCTACCATCGCCCATGGTGACCACCCCACCCTTGCACCCTTATTTCCTTCTTCACATTCTCCCTCCCCATCAGCCTCTCACCCACCCTGGGCGGGGAGGTATGGCGGGCTGGGCTGGGAGCTGGGAAAGGGGTCGTGGCTCGTTCGCTGTGGGGTGTGGAAGGGTGCGTGGTCAGCAGCACCCACCCTTTTCTCTCTTGCACTGACCTCCTCTCCTCTCTCGCACCGACCCCGCACGCATGGGAGGTGGTGATGAGGCTTTGGAGCAGAGTGTTGGGGGCACAGCCAGGGCAGCGCGCGCAGGCGGGCAGCAAGGAGTGCAGTGCTGCAGGGGGCGGGTTAGGGGAGCGGGGGAGGCGGGGATGAGGGAGAGAGGGTGCAGGGATCCTCCTATCCCCCTTATACCCTGCCACACTTTTACCTCTTGCCCTCCTCCCTTACTCCGTTCCGTCGTTCCCCCTCAGCCGTCCTCCCCTCCCTCTCCCTTCCTCCCTTCCTCCATCTCTTTGCCTCACTACCCTCTTTACCCTCTCTGTTGTCCGTCCTCCCTTCCTCCCGTCCTCCCTTCCTCCCGTCCTCCATCTCATCCGCCCATCATCTCATCCCCCCATCATCTCATCCCCCCATCATCTCATCCCCCCTATCATCTCATCCGCCCATCATCTCATCCCCCCATCATCTCATCCGCCCATCATCTCATCCCCCCATCATCTCATCCCCCCATCATCTCATCCCCCCATCATCACATCCCCCCATCATCTCATCCGCCCATCATCTCATCCCCCCATCATCTCATCCGCCCATCATCTCATCCCCCCATCATCTCATCCCCCCATCTTCTCATCCCCCCATCATCTCATCCGCCCATCATCTCATCCGCCCATCATCTCATCCCCCCATCATCTCATCCCCCCATCATCTCATCCCCCCATCATCTCATCCCCCCATCATCTCATCCGCCCATCATCTCATCCCCCCATCATCTCATCCGCCCATCATCTCATCCGCCCTTCCTCCGTGTCTCCCTTGCTCATTTTCTGCCTCCGTGCATTCTTTGTTCCCCACCGTGCATCAGAGTTTGTGGTTCGTGTCTATGCAGGTCTGCCATGCATCCAGTCGTGATGAGTATAGGGTTTGATGATACTAGTCGTCTACAATAGCTATACAGTGTATTGTTATTGATATTGGTTGGATGCGTCTCATAATACACCACATCACAAAACAAGACAAGACAAGACTAAATAAGCACAAGCACAAAGCTAGGAGTTGGTAACTTTTCAACCCACTCCTGTTGGGACCCATGGTCCTGGGAACCTGTACAAGCATGGGTTTGGAAGGAACGGGGAGGGAAGAGGGGATATGGTAGAATACACGAGGGGTGAAGGTGGAGGGCATGTATGGGAGGAGTTAGGCAAAGTGAGCGAAGCGGGAAAGAGAGTAAGCAGGGTGGAGAAGGGGGTAAGCAAAGGGGATAGCCCGTAAGCATGGGGCTAAGGAGGGATGTGAACAGGGGAAATGAGAGGACTTGGGGGGGGAAAAAGGGTTGAATGAAGGGGAATAGAGAGTAAACAAGGTTGGAAAATGGGTGAGTACAGGGGGAAAGAGAGAGAGCAGAGGGGGAGAGAGTGAACAAGAGGAAATAGGAACGATGGGTGAATACAGGGGGTAAGGGAGTCAGCAGGGGAATTTAGGAACGAGCACAGGGGGGAAATAGACCGAGCAGGGGGGAAATGGGTGAGAAAGGGGGAAAGAGGGGTGAGAACACGGGGAAAGAAGGTGAGTAGGGGGGGAAGAGAGTAAGCAAGGGGAAAGAGAGTGAGCAGGGGGGAAGTGAGTGAGAAGGGGAGGAGAGAGTGAGTATAGGAGTGAGCCGGGAAAACAGGGGATAGCGGAGGGGGTAAGAGAGCGTGAAGGCGAAAATGGGTGAGAAATGGGGAAAGTGGAGTGAGCACAAGGGGAGTGAGCAGAGGGAAAGAGAATGAGCAGGGGAAAGAGATTGAGGAGGGGGGGAAGCGAGTGAGCAGGGGGAAAGAGAGTGGGGGGAGGGGGAGGGGGAGAGTGTGAGCCGGGTTAAAGAGAGAGAGCAGGGGGGAAGAGAGTGAGCAGAGGGAAAGAGGTTGAGCAGGGGGGAACGGTTGAGTGAAGGGAGGAAGAGGGGTGAGAACAGGGGGTGAACAGGAGAGGAGAGAGTGAAGGGTGGGAAAAAGAGTGGGCAGGGGGGAAGAGAGTGAGCAGTGGGAAAGAGAGTGAGCAGGGAGAGAGCGAAAGGCAATGGAAGGGGAAG